ATCAACACCCACCTAGTCCTGCCTCTTATGCTTGTCAGATGTCTCCTCCCTGGCTTGCTCATTGCCACTTTTGTCTTTCATACAGCTGCTCTCTAGCAGTCTTTGGCTTTCCGCCTGACTTCCATGGCAGCTGCTCAATCATTGGCCTATCTACCATCCTGCCCCTTCTCCCACCACCCCTTGTAGGTACAACATGTACTGTACTACCGCACATTCTCCACCCTCAGAGCTAAACTCATCCCCCTACCAAACTGAGTGTCCTCCTTCATGTAGCATTGCAATCCACTGAAGTCAGACCTTGTGGCAGTTCTTCTAGCTTCTCATTTAGTCATTTTTCTACCTCTATAAATTCAAGAGACTTAAGGGCTACATGAAGTCAGAGAACCAGTATAATAGATATAACCAAGTGGACTTCGAGAACAGGAAGTGTGGTCAGATAGTGGAAAGTTAAGATTCTATATGAGAGGTTTTCTGGGTAGTGACAGAATCTGGAGTGCACCTATTATCATGGGCACCCAGATGAATAGAGCTATGAGGTCTTTGGAGTTAAGGAAGACAAGGAACTTGAGAGGCTGGTCCCGATCTGTTGTGGTTGTTATCTGAGAGAAGGCTAAAGTCATTCAAGAGAACGTCAGGACTGGAGGATAAGAAAAATCTGGTGAATCACTGGGCAAAAGTCTTCAAGAATAGAGAAATAGTTTACATCTATTAAGAGTGAGAAGGATTCAACCCTACTTTCTGACCAGGCACTCTGGGATAGTTGGAATAGACCAACCGTGGACAGTAAGAATTGATGTGGTTGTAGATGAGTTGTGTATCAGGAGGGAATCAGGAAGTCTCCAGAGATTCCCTGTTTCTTCTCTATAGCTGTCTCTGTCTCTGTCTTTCTCTGTCTCTGTCTCTCTTTTGCGCGCATGTGCACATATGTGCACTCAATCTCTGTGTCTCTCTTTTCTCTCTGAAAAAACAAGATGTTTTCACTGTGCTTTTCCTGATTTGAGTCTGTGAGTATAACTTGGAGACAACGTGAGAACATAGATCTTCTTAAATATCTGTTATTCTCTCGCTTATGTATACAGATCCTCTTACTTCCATCATTGCATTATTTTCCTTTGCATTCTTTTTCTTTTTTTCTTTCTTTTTTTTGGTCCAATCGTGGGGCCTGAACTCTAGGCCTGGGCGCTGTCCCTCAGCTCTTCAGCTCAAGGCTAGCACTCTACCACTTGAGCCACAGTACCACTTCTGGCTTTTTTTTTTCTGCTTATGTGGTGCTGAGGAATCGAACCCAGGGCCTCATGCATGCAAGGCAAGTGCTCTACCACTGAGCCACCTTCCCAGCCCTGCATTCTTTTTCTTGAAGTATGCTTTTTTCTGAATCTTTCTTTCTTTTATTTTGGGGGATCAGTTTTTCACATTTGTACTCTGCATTCTTTTCAACATTTCTTGATGTTTCTATTGTTATTATAAAGGTGATACACAGAAAGGTTACAGTTACCAATTTTTTAAATTAAAAAATTATACTTTTAATTCAAAGCCAGTGCTTGTAATCCTAACTATTTGGAAGGCAGAAATGGGACATAAAAGTTCATGTAACTCCTTCTCAAGCCTGAGGCTTGTCACACAGCTATCATCCCAGTAACAGAGGGGAGAAAAATTGGATCATGTAGTCCAGATCCCTCCATGCTTAAAGTAAGACTCTTACCTTGAAAACAACCCTCTGGCAGTAGATTGCTTGCCTAGCAAGTACAAGTCCTCAAGCTCAAACCCCAATACTATCCCCCCCACCAAAAAAAATCATGCTTCTTATTTGAAAATAAAGACTGGTATAATTATAAGAAAGGTACAATACCAAAATATTTATAGACATTTTCACTTCCAGTCTTTCTTATACATGGATCACACTTAGCTAGTTTTGTTGAAATGGAGTCTTTTTACCTAGGTTGACTTTGAAGCATGATCCCCTTGATCTCTGTCTCCCAAGTAACTAGCATTACAGGCATGAGCCATTATGCCAAGTTCCTTCCAGATTTGTTGTAATTTTTTCCCCCTGCCTAAGACTGGGATCCAAACTCTCATTGGCAGGCTATCTACCACTTGAGCCATGCTTCTAACCCCTCCTTCCAAATTTTAACATGAATAAAGTTACTAAAAATATCTATGTGTTGTACAAGTTTTTTTGTTGTTTTTTGTTTGTTTGTTTGTTTTTGGTCAGTCATGGGGCTTGAACTCTGGGCCTGAATGCTGTCCCTCTGCTCTTCAGCTCAAGGCTAGTGCTCTACCACTTGAACTACTGTGTCACTTCCAGTTTTCTGAGTGGTTTATTGGAGGTAAGAGTCTCACAGACTTTCTTGCCTGGGCTGGCTTTGAATCGCCATCCTCTGATCTCAACCACCTGAGTAGCTACAATTACAGGCATGAGCCACTGGTGCCCAGCTTATGTGTCCAAGTTTTTGTGTGAGTATGCATCTTCAATCATTTGCGCAAACACCAAGAAATGTAGTTGCTGGTCATATGGTGAAAGTATATTTAGTTTTAGCTGAGCTGCAGTGGCTCATGCCTATAAATCATAGCTACTCAGGAAGCTTAGATCTGAGGATCAAGGTTTAGAGCCAGTTAGGACAAACAAATCCAAGAGACTCTTCCAGTTAATCAGCAAAAAGCTGGAATTGGAGGTATGGCTTAAGTGCTAAAACAACAGATGTAAGTGAAAAGGTTAAGTGAGAATGGATCTTAAGCCTCAGTACCAGCATACCTGTACATGTGTGCATGTACGTGCACACACACACATATACAAATAATGAAATGAATTGCCAGATTGTTTTTCAAAATGACTTTACCACATTGCAGTCCTACCAGCAATGAATGAGAATTTCTGTTGCTTCATGTTCACAGAAACATTTGTATATCTATGTTTTAGATTTTGGCTATTCTAATAGGTATGCATTTAGTTATAGTCCATTGTTGATTTAATTCTTAGTTCCCTAAAGACATGTGATGTCTTTTCACATGTTTGTCACATTTATCTCTTCTTTGGTATATATACACTAATCAGACATGTGATGTCTTTTCACATGTTTGTCACATTTATCTCTTCTTTGGTATATATACACTAATCAGCCTGCCAGTCTGTTTCTTAGTTCTTTGTGGAAAGAATTATATGTATTCCTAATGGTAAGGTGGATTCAGTCAGAAATCAGTATTAGTTCTCTATCCAAATCTTTCAAAGTTAAATAACTGATTTAATTATCATAGCCTAAGAAAATTAAGAAAGTGATAAAAAAAAAAAAAGTTAGGTTGTCCCTGGAGAAAGCCACCTGCTGAGTCTACTCCCCAGCTAGATGTTGCCAATAAGTCATGGCAAACTTCTAGGGTTATATACAAACCATTTACATCTTCCTTTCATACCCCTACCCCACCCCCAAAGATTATCATGTACCCCTTAGGAAGTCATGTCCTCTTTACTTGAAGGGTAACTACCATACTGAATTAGTCCTGGACTGTGAGCCCCATGGAAGATAAGGCTTATAATGAATTATTCCACAATTGTTTCTCTAGGGTTGACCTCATTGTAGATATAGGAATATGAATGGATGAAGGAATCCCTATTACTAGTGAGAATGTGCCACTGTCTTCTTACAGAGTTTGAGGAGGAGTAAAGGTTGAGAACAGCTATATAACATGATACACTTCAAAGAGTATACAGTAATTAGTACACTCAACCTACTTTCTCCATACTTTTCATTCTGTAGAGGGTAAAGCTGCACATAGCAATTAACTTCAGGTTAAGGGTCACTCCCTAACTCTCACCCACAGAGCTAAAGTCTGGCCTGGGCATTTTTTAGCAGATTTTTGGTGATGCTAAAGTGCAACCAGGCATGATAATTATTGTTTTAAAAAATACGTTCTTGTTGGACATAGTGGTACATGCCTGTAATCCCAGCAGCATTCCATGGCTGAGACAGGAGGATCTCAAGTTCAAGGCCAGTCTGTACTCTACATAGTGAAACCTTGTCTCAAAAAATATATATTCTAAAAAAAAGAAAAAGAAAAAAATATATATATTCTTTTTTTTTTTTTTTTAATCTGTCATAGGGCCTGAACTCTGGGCCTGGGCACTGTCCCTTAGCTCGTCAGCTGAGAGTAGTGCTCTAACGCTTGAGTCTCAGCCCCACTTCAGCTTTTTCTGCTTATGTGGTGCTGAGGAATCGAATCAAGGGCCTCATACATGCAAGGCGAGCACTCTACCACTGAGCCACCTTCCCAGCCCCCAAAAGATATATTCTTAATTAAGCCTACTTTCATTTGTATAAAGGCCCAAAACCTAAGGTGGTGGCTCATGCCTATAATCCATCTACTTGGGAGGTTAGGGGCAGTTGACTACTACTTGCAGCCTGCCAAAGCTAGCAAGACCCAGTCTCAAAAGCACATGCATATTTAAGGGCTGGAGACATGGCTCTAGTGGTGAAACACTTTTCTAGCAAGTATTTAGTCCCAAGTATTGCAGAAAGGCAAAAAATAAAAGTAACAGTCCGGCTTCTAGGGAAATATAATGTATCAGTTTCACAAGGGATTATTAAGCCTGTGCTGTGTGTGTGTGTGTGTGTGTGTGTGTGTGTGTGTGTGTACGCGTGCGCATGCACATGCACACATATGCAGGCCAGCCAGTTCCTGAGGCTTGAACTCAGGGCCTGGGCACTGTCCCTGAGCATTTTTGCTCAAGACTAGCACTCTACCACTGGAGCTACAGCTTAACTTCTAGCTTTTTGGTGATTAACTGGAGAGAAGAGTCTTACAAACTTTCCTGCCTGGATGGCTTTGAACCATGATCCCCAGGTCTTAGCCTCCAGCTAGGACTACAGGCATGAGCCGCTGGTACTCAGCATGTATATATCTTTTAATAACTACAGAAATGCTGCCCAGAATACTTTTTGTATTTCAAGTTATTTGGATATAGTTATAATAACATCAAACCTCACCTTATACAATTCCCTGTTTTCCAGGTCAGCATGGATTCCTGGTTCATTCTTGTTCTGCTTGGCAGTAGTCTGATGTGTGCCAGTGCCAACAATGCTACCACAGGTAAATTGTCATTTGAGTAGAGACTATATCTGAAAATAAAATGACACATAAAATGACAAATTTCGATACTTAGGTAGTAGAAAATTAATAAGAATTAAATTTTGATTTAAAAATGATGTTATGTTGGGGTGCTGTATTTTAGGGGAAGAGGTCAGGCAATGAGATAGAGGGAATGAGATTGATTGGAATACAGTGCTACAAAAATGTAAGAAGATGTAGCAATGAATTATCTCTGTATAACTGATGAGAGAGAGAGAGAGTGTGTGTGTGTGAATCTGTGTGTATGTAAAAGTATGTAATGGTAAATGAAATGTGGGGTTTTTGTTGTTGTTTTTTCAAGTTTGTGTGTGTGTACCAATCCTGGGCCTTCTTGAACTCAGATGCCTGGGCGCTGTCCCTGAGCTTTTTTCTCAAGGCTCCCCACTCTACCACTGGAGCCACAACTTCACTTCTGGCTTTTTGGTGATTAATTGGAGATAAAAGTCTTGTGAACTTGCCTGACCATGTTGGCTTTGAACTGTGATCCTCAGTTCTTGCCTCCTGAGTAGCTAGGATTACAGCATGAGCTACCAATGCTCAGCAAAATAAATGTATTTGAAAAATCTCTGAATTATGTTGAGTGCTCAGCTTTGCTATACATATTGTCTATATGAGATTATATATTCATTTTAGTATACCAAAGAAATTATATATTCTGTTCTGCTAAGTAAAAGAAGTTATTGGTACTTAACATTGTTCATTCTGATCTATAAAGAATTAAATTTTGCCAGGCGCTAGTGGCTCACGCCTGTAATCCTAGCTACTCAGGAGACTGAGATCTGAGAATCGCGGTTCAAAGCCAGCCCGGGCAGGAGAGACCGTGAGACTCCTATCTCCAATAAAACCACCAGAAAACCGGA